TTTTTTTTATTCGCTTCAATCAAAAAAAGAAAGTATTCAAGTATTATTTGGAAGCTTCTTAGCCAGTGATCTCAAATATCGATTTGTATTCATTTATGGCCTTTTGTTTCATTTGTGCATTTTTCTATTCCTTGTTGCTTAACGTGCCTCACTGTGTGCAACGGCATTTCTTATATGCACAATCAAATTCTTAATCTCTGAACCATGCGAAAACTGACTCGGGAAATGACAAATATGCCGACTTTTATGGTACTTAGTGAAGTGATTCTGATTGTATTTAAACTGTTGTGTTTAGTTGTAGTAAGAATAAAATAGCTGTTGCTTTTGACAAAGAAACTGGCATATGATGTGAGACTAATTCCAATTGGCAAGGCAGGGTACAAGCCGGTAGTTTTAAATGCTGACAGGTTTTGTATGCCCTATGGCACTGTGACAGCTCTGTGTGTGTGTGTGTGTGTCTGCCTCTGTATCTTTCTGTCTTTCTCCCTTTCTCTTTTCCCAGTCTTACCTGTCTGTCTGATGATGCTACTTTCTCTCTTTTCACCGTGCTTGTTTGTAAATGCACACAGACAAAATTATGAAGGGAACACAAAAAACACAAAGTACAGGAGTGTATGAATTCAGACGCACACACACACACACATGTGCACACACACAAAACACACGCACACACACTGACGAATGGCAGCAATTAGATGGGGAAACCAAGCATGTGAGGACAGAGGAGCGCTGAGGGGCTGCAGCCTGCTGTATGGAACGTGCGTTTGTGTACGTGTGTGTGTGTGCACATGTTATATGTTTGTGTGCATTTGATAGGTTTTTATCCCTCTATTTATACCATCCATCTGTCTAAATATCAACACTGTCTCATATGTCACTGGACAGCAGCTGTAGTAAGGTGTAGTCGAATTTTAGCATTTGCAATCAAGGACCAAATGTGAAAAGGTCTGGACTGCAACAATATAAATTTACAAGAAATAATTAGTCATTGTATAAAAGGTGAGAAAGAAATGTTTGAGTATTTGACAGCAGGCACATGAGGTAAAGAATTCTATTTTTTTAAGTTAAAAAAAGAAATAAATATGAAATATTTGTCATCTCTGTCTTCCTCCGGTTTCATGTCAGCCTACTGAATTGATCAACCCACTGACACTGAGACCTTGGGCTTCCTTAGTTCTTCTTTTCTCTCCCATTTGGAAGAATAGCCTTCTTGCTTCAGTCAGAGCAGCAGTCACTTCTCATATTCCCTTTAAATGTGAAGATTCATCTTTTCAGGAAATTCCTCAATGCAGCCTTCCCACTTCAAATTAATCACATCTCTACCCACTCCCGTTGCTATCTAATAAACACTCCCCCCCTCGCCTAGATCCGTAACTGTCCCAGGATTTCTCTGATTTTTCATCGCCAGGTTGCATGTGGAAGTCAGTGTTAATTAGCTGCAGCGGTTAAGTAATAAAAGAGCTTCAAGGCAATTCAATTTCAGCTGTTTAAAAAGATTTGAGACGCACTGTTTAACTTGTTTGGGACTAACTTTTAGTGATGACACTGGTGACTTGTTTCTCAAGCTGTTAGGTAAAAAATATAATATAATATTAAAAAAAAACACCATCAAATGTTATGAAAACACATCATATGTCTGTCTTTTTGTGTTAGTTTCTGTATGTGTGTGTGTGAGAGAGAGAGTAAGAGAGAGTAGTCATATTTGAAAGGAGAGCAGAGGTATGATAGACACAGCTGAACGATTTACTTCTTGCTTACATCACAAATCAGCCCCATATTATAAGGCTTTACATGCAAATATGAGGCAGAGTAAATGTGTGTGTGTGTGTGTGTGTGTGTGTGTGTGTGTGTGTGTGTGTGTGTGTGTGTGCACAGGTGTGAAAGGGACTGCACACTGGTCTGCAAAATAAAGCAAACTCTTATTTGCATATAAACTGAATGCATTGTGTGACTTCATATATGTAACCCATGTTTAGTATCAATGTATATCATGAATGAGTGAGTAAGTGTATGCGCCTCTGTGTGTGTGTGTGTGTGTTGTGTGTGTGTGTGGTAACCTGTCCTATCAGCTGCAAGCTCATTTCTCTCAGAAATCAAAGTTAAATGGGTCATCTATCATGAGAATATGTGACTGGGTCTCTTGTCTCTGTCTCTGTGTGTGTGTGTGTGTGTGTGTGTGTGTGTGCGCGTGTGTTTCATGCACACATATGCAAGGTGTGTGGTGCGAGAGCAGTCTGCGTGCACCGCTGCAGCTGCTCACACGTGTGTATGCGGCGGCCACTTGTCTTTGCCTATGCTATGATTAATGGTTTACATTGGGCTGTTCAGCCATGCATGTTTCTTGGTTTATCGTTTTATGCTGTCTCCAATTAAAGCTCCATAACTTGAGTGATGGCTTCACGCCAGTGTCCATCAATAGAGGCCATCAGCAGCTCATGCATTCAGGATATGGAAGCCACACACTAACTAATATCCTTTTGTGTCAGAGCCAGTGGGCATCCTTTTTGTGTGACTGTACAAATATATACACGTGCGCCAACACGCGTGCGCATGCTGTGCACATGAAATAAAAACAGTAATTAAATTTGAAGTGATCTATTTTTCCTGATAAATTTGGTTTTACTGTTTAAAATCTTGAAAAATGAATTACCAGTGGGATAAAATAATATTATAATTGTGGTTTTTTTTTTATGTAATCAATGAAAACCATCAGGTGATCAATTAATGAATCATCCTGAAATTGTTTTTTCGATAAGGACAGTCTTTTGCGCCATGTCTGCATTCATGCACGATTTTGCATCTTTGTGTCTTTTTGTGCCAAAGAAGTGCTGGGGGCTACATACATCTGGACGTGGGAGCTAGTTCATGTGTGCGCCGCACAGACACGCGTGCGCCGCACAATATCATTTCACGCAATATTATTTCTCATATAGCTGTAATGACATTAGGCCGATATGTTGATTATACTGTCGGCAAACAGCAGCCTGCTGATTGGGTTAGCATATAACCTTATATCACATCTCTCCATTCATCCCTGTGCTTTTTTTTTTATTGCCCTCATTTTTCCAAATCACTTCCCACTTCTCCAGTTTCCAGGGCGAGGTTCCAGGCTATGCAAGCAGGTGATGAGAAGTAATATGATGACAGGAAGACACAACAACTTAAGAGAAGAAAACCCAGAACCTTAGAGCAGCCCAAGTTCTCTGAGTGCAGGACAAAGAAGCCTAGTGGTAGGATAGAAAAGCGTTGTCGACAAACATAAGAATAAATGAATATTTATTCGCGCTGACAAAACCCAGTGAGCACGCACAAATTGTGCATGTTACGGTTTCTGCTCAGCTTTTGTTGTTTTGATTTTTAACAGTTGTATGGATTGATGATGAAGAAGAAGAACAAAAAGGGAGATTTTTTTGGTGTGGGCTACTGAGATTGTTAAAGAGAATGAGATTTTATTTGCAGTTACACATGGACACTTTAGTATCTGCACACACAAAACAAGGTTTTTCATGCATTAAGGAAGTTTTAATCCCCCCCATAGAGGTTTTAGCCAAAGCTAAGATGCTAAGATCACTGCTCATTGGGATTTTATTTACTCAAGGATAATAGGAATATTCATTACTGTACATAGACGAATCTTGTTTACATTTGTGGTATAAACTTCAAGCTGTGTTTGGAGTTCACTGTGTAGCAGCTACAGCTTTAATATGTGTCCATAAGCAGCAGAACGCAATGGCAAAAATCAGCAGAAAACACACTGTAGCTGTATACAATCACCTCTATTTCCCTTCTCCCTAGCTAACATGTACACACAAACATACATATGGTGTGCTCTCAAACACAGACTTCATTATTATCTAAAAGAAACAAACATTACACAAAATACCTCTGGCGATATTTGTGCTTTGACGAAAAGAACACTTTTGGTGCTGTTTGGTTCTTAAACACAGCTGTGTTAGCACGTCGAACTGTCAAGATTTTACTGCAAATTACTAATGGTGGGAATCAATATCTGTACCACATGCACAGGTAATGATTTAGCCATGCATAGCATACAGCTGGACAGACAAGCAGCAAATGGAAAAAAGATAACAATAACAATAAATTCACATCAGCCATACCTAACGCGTAAGATGCTATGCTATGTCAAGGCTAAATGACACAAGGAGAAAAATGAAACTAGGTTGTGTGGAAATTAAAAAAAAAAAAAGGGGGGGGGGTCGGATTTAGTATTCAGCAATGGCTGAAGGGGATTGGGGGGAGGGAGAGAAAGCAGACTTATGTATAGGGAAAAGGGGTGGATATGATGAAGCTGGAGAAAATTAATCAGTGGTATCATCTCCCGGCAAGTTTAGTTAACACTATTTCTGCCAGTTACAAAATATTCCAGCAATTAGTGATTTCCCATCGTGTGGTAATGTAAAGAAATCAAACTTTCTGCTCTTTCTTTTCATGTATGGATTAAATATTGAATGATTAGCAATGCATTAGTCACTGGTAAGTTCAGAACCGTACTCTGGCTTGAATCTTAGTGCTTTAGTCTTCCTGTGAGGGAACTTCTGTTGTATCTGTGTAACAACCCATTAAATCACCGTGCATATACACTGCACACACACAAGAAAAGCACAGTCGCTTGTTGACCTCACATTAGATAAGCCCAGTGTCATCAGTCCAGCTCTCCAATGTTTGTTTGCATTTGTGCATGAGCTTAGCCTTGAGGCAGTCTCAATGCTTGCATGTACATTATAATGTAATCTAAGTGTATAAACATATTAATGTGTGTGCAGAGCAAGAAAATCACTGTGACGAAATCATAGTGTGACATTTTGCAGGAATCTAAAACTTTATTTTGATTCTTTTTAAAAAATCTACAACACTTTTGCTCATAACTGCTTCTCTCTATCAATTTTAACAACGATAGAAGCAACGTTAAAAGTAAACCGACTAACACTTTGACTCCAGTTTATGACAATGACTAAATAATACTGTTCTTTCTGCTCCAGACCAAGGCCAAAATGGTGCATTTGAAAGACAAGCTCCGCAATCGTTTCAAGAGAATGGCGGAGGAGAAAGAGACGAGGATTAAGCAACTAACTGACGAGCTGAATGGTACGAGGCAAAAGGTAAAATGCACGCAAAGGGTACACAAGCACATACTTCAAATGCTTCTTTTATGTTTGTATAAAATTTAAAGACATTTTACAGATTCTTCAATGAATGAGTCCTATTTATCTATAATGAATTGCTGCTTCGCAGTAAGAGCATTTGTGAGCGAAGGCTGCCAAGAAATGGGAAAGAGTAACTTCAAGAGAAGACATGCTTAGTGTTTTTAACACGCGGGTCATAGTCTTTTTTGGTCAAACACATAAGTACACAAATAAACATACAGTACTGAAAAGCTTTTGAGTAAATGAATTGCATTGCACTGTGAACCCTTGGCTAACATTATTGGTTGACCCCTGGGATTCTGTTAGCTAATTTAACTACGCCATCCTAGCGCTTCAATCACTTTTCCACCCACTTATTTTATACCCTTTCAATTATACAGATTACCATTGCTAGTAGAGCTTATTGAGCTGTACTTCTGATTCAAAGGAACACCGGCCCATTGAGGCACAAGCACTGACTGACGTACACACACACACACACACAAGTACACACCACTTGATCTGCATATCATTATGCTTTTGATCGAATGCCAAGGTTTTCGCTGAGAAAGACGTCAGAGTCAAATGAAGCGAGCATGTACACAACACCTGTAGGATTTGTGTGTGTGTGTGTGCGCTCGTGTGCGTTCATGCTCATGAGAGAGGCAGCTGTGAAATCTGCACCTGTTTAATTGAATTAGCCTCGTTAATGTATTCACACAGGCTGCCAAAAAAAGCGTGGCATTAACAAGCTCATTAGACCAATTAGTTAATTAATTGTCTGTATGGCAGAAGCTTCCCAAAGAGCTGCGTCTTCATTATCTGATAGCTGCTGCCTGTTGGATCACTGCTTGAGAGCTGATAATGCACTCTGTGTGTGCGCCCGCTTGTACGTCTCATCAAATGTTGTATATTCCTGCATATATGTGTGTATATATACTGTATGTACTGTGTGTGTGTGTGTGTGTGTGTGTGTGTGTGGTTATTTCAGGTAAAAAATGTGCGTGTGTGCGCGTGGATGCTCATGTATTCGTCTGTCTGTGTGTAGCATGCTCATAATATGGTGGCCAATATCAGTGTGCATATTGCAGTGAAAGGTTATGTGGGGGCCGTCACTCCCACAGGTAAAGACAGAGCAGTCCTCCCAGCCACTTTCTAATCTCTCTTTTATTAGAAGTTAATATCTCGCCTGCTCTTTCTCACTCCACACTCCCACCTGCTTAGAAATGGCCCCGCTCCATCTTTTTAATTCAATTATATTAGCCACCCTCTCTCTCTCTCTCTCTGTCTTTCTCTGTGCCCATAACTCTGCAACTCACATCTCTCCCTAACACACTATCTATCTCTTTCTTCCTTCTCTGTCTCTTCCCATCTTACCCCTCCTTCCTTTGTCCTCAAATGTTCCATTTCTATTTGTAATCCTAGATGGAGGATAGACTTTGGCCAATCAAGGATTTGCGCAAGCCATTCTCCCTTTCTCCTCTTCTCTGCCTTGGTGGCAGAAATGTATGATGGCGAGCAGAGGGGGAGAAAAAAAAGACGGGAGACGGGAGGAGGTGGGAGGCAGGAGTTGAGGGGAGGACCCCAGGGGCGAAACTTTGATTGCTAAAGTAATGAGACTTGATCAGATTGAGGTTTCTCTCTCAATAGGAGCTCTACTAATATGAAAGTCCAGGGCTTAAGCACTCATTTGAAATAAAATCACAAATCTGATATTCTTTCTTCCGGACTCTCAGCCAAGGTCCTATACTCCTCTGCTGGAGAATTAAGACTTCACAGAGACCACATGGGAACTTTTAATCATCTCTGATGGTGGCAGATTTGGAGATGGGGAAAAAATGACCCTAATGTATTAATTATGTAACAATATTATGGAGAAAGTCAGACCTGTAAAGACCTTGAGCTATAGGAGGGATTTTGGCAGACACTGAGATCTTTAACTAGCTGGATCAACAGGCCTGACCCGCAGTGAGTGGGAATAAGAAAATGTCAACATCCTGTTATACAGACTCATAACAAATTAGATGTGACAACATAGGCTTTTTGAATTACCTTGTTTGTAGCCCTGTGAGTAACTCAAATTTGGATGTTTTTCCAAGGTAAATGTGACTTCGTTTCCAAGAAAGGCTTGATTGCTGCTGCAAAAATAATACTCAGTCTCTACTTGTTCACAAGAGCAAAAAACACCATGATGTTGGCACTAGATAACAGGAATAAAGACTATCAGTCACTTTACATCGCTCTTCCTTTTGGCTCCTGGGCACTTTACCATGAATCCAAGCTTCTTTTGCACCCTATCACCGGTATATAAGCCTTTAAAACGTTATATTTCTCGAGTTTTAATATTGGATATTAGCGAAGACTTTGTCTAGTAACTAAGCTGACACAGAACACTGCCTTTAATTGTGTCTTGCATGTGAAATATGGCTATTGTCGTACAGTCCGGATTGCAGTCATAAGTAAGTATAGTAAAACATTTACAGAAGCTGACTTTTAATTAGATCTTATTGCTTTTACTTGGTTTAACATTGATGGCAATAATATTTAAAATGTGTAAAAATGTGCTCTTTTGCCAAATGTCCATTTTTCATTTGAAATCCCTCTTGCGCCGTAGATGGTTTAACATAAAGAACTTTTGCTCTCTGGTGTAATATGTTGAACTTGGTTGAAGCGCTGAAATGAACACGTTATTGTCCTAGTTTTTGTAAAACTTATTTCCCAATAGTCACACAAAAAACTGGGGCGAATAATCCAGATAAAAGAGAGATTTTAATTCATTATTGCAATAATACTGGGTGGCCCATTGCTTATAATTGTTACCATCCATTAGCAAAGCTGTAGATAATTTAACTGCATTGATGACCACCTTTAACTCACTGTTGCGCTGTGTTGGGTGGGACATATTAATGCTAGGAAGTGTTTCTGGGAGGCTCACTTAAGAAGGCAGAGGTAGGTTGTGACTGCGCCAAGACACATGCCCCTAACCACAGTCTGCTCCTGGTGGCCGTGTTCACTTTGAGTGTGTCTTTAGCTCCATATTTTTTTTGTGGTTATATCTGCATCTTGTTATGACCTGATCTTAAATCATCCAGTTTGATAGAAATAAAAATATACAGGCGTTTCGACTAGTGCGTGCACGTGCATACAAAGGTATGGTATGGTATCTCAAAGTGTGTTTGCTGTGACTCTCTGCGGAGCTTCCTTGCTAATCTAACACAGGACCATTTAACAGAGTCCCAATGAATAGAGGCTTTGATTTAAGTGGGATCTGAACCACGGGCCCACACACACTCACATTCATGTTTGGGGTGAGGAGTTCACCCACTGTCTGCGTCCTCTGAAATTATTGGTCTTTTTGTATCAGTAATTGCTCAAGCGCAAATTCATGTACAGTAACGCACACCGCACACACCAACAGTTACTTAGAGCGGGACTGTGGTGCAGTGATTAGCAGTTTTGCTTCTCCTGGTCTCCAGGAACATGCAAACTCTATGTGGAGTTTGCATGTTCTCCTGATGCTTGCCAAGGTTTCTCAGATTCAGATTTTTCCCACAGTCAAAAAGACATGCATGCTAGGTAAGTTAGCTAAATCCTAAATTGGCTGTCCGTATGAATGAAATCATAAATTGCTGGTAAAGAGACAGTTCACCCCAAGTTCAAGTTGATGAAATTCCTTCGTGCTACAATAGGCTATGGATTGTAGTGTGAAGGTAAATGGTAAATGGACTGTATTTGTATAGCACTTTACTAGTCCCTAAGGACCCCAAAGTGCTTTACACAACCAGTCATCCACCCATTCACACACACATTCACACACTGGTGATAGGAAGCTACATTGTAGCCACAGCCATCCTGGGGCGCACTGACAGAGGTGAGGCTGCCGGACACTGGCGCCACCGGGTCCTCTGACCAGATCCAAGGTGGATCCAAGGTGGCAGATCCAAATGCAAAAGACTAATAAAAGCTGATAAAAGCCCAAACCTGCTACTAGACATCCAAACGAAAACATAACCCAGAGAACTACAACAACACAAGAAAACACAAGGAAGCAGAAGAGCACACGCTGAAGGCACATCAGGGAATAGCCAAAGAAGACCAATACTAATCTGAATATTACTACTTAACAAGATGAACAGAAAAAGGCAACACAAGGGGACCAAGGCATAAACACAGAGCGAGACAGAGGGACAACTGAAAAATATGAAATACAGAAAGAACTAAAACCATAAAGTAACGGAAAAACCTGCCATTAATCTATAACTTAAGAATTCACAACCCCAAAACTAAACACAAAGAAACACACAACGTTCTACATTAGACACTGTGGGAACTAAGCACAAATGCTAACTAATGAGCTAAAACATAAATATACATAGAACAAAAATGAGGAAATCATAACTCAAAATGTAGGCGCTTAAGTAGAGTAAAGAAGCCCAACTAAATAATAAACCAGAAGACGCAACTCAAAAACCTGGCACAAAAAGCCAGGGATCATGACATCTCTGGCCCGTACTGCTATTTATATGGTGTAAGTTACCAATCACTGGGAATATTGGCTGTAGAAATGCCTGCCCTCTCTTGAATGTAATGAATGCAAACAGCACTTAAAAGTCGTGCTTAAAGAGCCAAAAAATACATTACAGAAATACAACTCAGCACAATCTTTCCAGAAATCCTGACCCGGTTGCTCAAACAAATATAAAATAAAAATAAAAATCCACAAAGTGTCAGCACTACTTGAAACGAACATCTTGTTTATCTCCTGTAACTGAAACCACCACATCTTGTTGGTAGTTTCGCAAACACTACGGGAAATCTTCGATTGAGGCGAAAGGGTGCCTCTGAGCACTTTTTTATTTGCAGGTAGAAAACCTCCAAGCTGAGGAGGCTCATGCGAAGCCCCTCGCCCAGGATGTGGTTAGTTTGCGAGTCACATAGAAGTCTCTGAAGAGAACATTTGTCATAAAGGAGAAAACTAGAATGCCATCCTCAAAGACAGCCCAGCCGCACGGCAGAGCACAGTGGGTAAGCGCGCTCTGTCTTTCACACACTCGCCAACAGAGGAGAGGAGATCTTCTTAAACAAGGAGCAGAACTGGGCACCGTTCTCTAAATCAAATCCAGCGAGGTACATCGGGGAATTCTCCTCATTTTTTACTTCCTTCACAGTTAATCATCAGTCCTTCTTCCCCTCCTCCTCCGCCTTTCCTCTCTTGCCCTCTCTCCATATTTAATAACTCATCCCCACCATCTTAGCTCCGCAGAGGGTAGCCTCGTACATTAAAGAAGCATGTTTGTGTGAATATCACTTAGCCATTAGAAGGAACAAGATGGGGGGAGGGGTTAAATGCTGGCTTGATTTTCTTTTCTATTAATTATTTTTCTTCAGATCATTCTTTTTTTTTTGCTTCCTTTGTTGTCTTTTTCCTCTCTCATCTCCCTTGTCCAGCCTCTCTCTCTCTTTTGCCCCAATGAGAATCAGTGGTAATGAATGTGAACATTAAAGAGTCGTACGCATGATGAATGGAATGGCCTTTAGGTTTCTCTCACTGTCCTCTCTCTCCCTCTCTTTATTTTTATTCTCGCTCCCTCTCTGTTTCATTCTCTCTTCTTCTTTTCCTCCTCCCCCTCTCACCCCTCTAGGTATATCAGAGTGGCGCGTGGCAGTGATGTGTTTTAGGCTTAAATTAACCTATTTACTGTGTCCTTGGCCAAACCAAGTCATTTGTCTGCTCCTTAGTGTTTTAGCATGGTGGGTGCCTGTCAGCCAGCTAAATGAAATACATTCGACATAAAAACAGCGGGCCCGTAGATGCCGACTTTATGCCCTTACTTTTCTAATACTAACTTAATTTCCTTATTACCTTTTTGACATCACTGGTGTATTCAGAAGGCGCCAGCAGCTTAAATGCGATAAGTGTAACACTGTATTTTCATTTCATCATGTTACTGATGTTCTGGGGCCGAGTTTGAAAATTTGCGGTGTCAAAGGTTTAAGTAAGTGTCTGAAAATAAACAGGTTGCTTTCTGTTGCCGGCGTGATTTTGTATGTTACAAAGAAAAGGGGCCGTGGCCCAGCTAAACATCATGTGATGCTTTTTTCTTTTTCTTTTAATGAAAAGCTTTTTGATGCATCTGATGTAGAGGAGATACAAAAGGATCACAACACAGTGAGAGCTCTGCCTCCAGGTTTTAGAAGCACTGCTCCGGTTAGCGTCCTACAACTTTATGACGAGTAGTCAAGCAGTTTTATTGGTCCCGAGTCAAAGCGGTAATTGTAGGGGTCCCTAGCCTGGCACAAAGCCTTTATGATGTTCCCTTTCACTTGTACGGAGAAAAAACAGAGGCAAACATCTCTAAATTTTACTTTCATCTCCCACCTCTCTTATTTGTATTTTCTTGCAATGGGTCGCTCATTCTTCTCCTTGCGTTTTGGTCGACCACAGCTTTCTTTTTGTCTATCGGTGGGCTTAAAGGTCCTAACCTCAAACAGTACTTTCAGATCATCATCCTTGCCTTTCTTCCTGTCTCTGCTAACCTTGCAGTTACGAATAAGTGAAGGTATGTTAAGTGATATCACGAATGCCCTGAATCAGTCCACCACCAACCTGAATGCAGACAGACAGCAGATCTTAGGCCAGCTGCACCATGCGAGCAAAGAGGTTGGACGTCTACAGCTGGAATTAGCTCTCGAGCGTCGCACCAGTGAAAAGAAGGTAATCAGCTTCGTCTCCAAGGTCTTAATTCAAATATTAAAATGTGAATTCTTGTAAAATCTTTGCTTTGTTTGACTTTGTCGTTTTACAATTAAACCGAAGCGTGTGCGTGTTTTTCCCCCTCAAATTGTTGACAATTGGTACGTTAAAGGCGAGTTTTCCACCTCACCATTAAAGCAAGAGTTTCTACAGAAAGCGGGCACGTTGGAAGAAAAATGGTTAATCTAGAGATACGAAATTTCTACTGGATAGGAGATTAAATATAATATTCACTTTAATGTAATGCATTGTCTTTCCCCACAATGGGACTGATAAGATGGGTCGCGTAGGTGAGGGATTCATTTAAATATGAAATTTTCAAATGTAATATTCACTGTGACAGGCATTGTCTATTTCTACAATAGTGCTGATAATAAGGTTTTAGATAATGGGTAATAGGATGTTCTGATATTTAGAGCCTTATTAAAAACACATACTTTTGATGAAGACAGACTTGGCAAAAATTTTGATTGTTCCGCTAAAATGGGATTTCAGCTTCACTACTGCTGGGATTGTGGCGAAGCTGGGAAATCACGTGGTTACATCCTACATTGCTTCTAAGACCTGTTTTTTTTGTCCTGCTCTGCCCTTTATGCGATACACCAAAAGCATATGTTAGTGCTTAGTGGTTTGTGTTTAACCTTCAATTAACCAGGTTGCAAAGATACCTTTCCCAAAGCCGTTGGGAAATTTCAAGGGCTCGGAATTGTAAAAAAACAGAACACAGCACATGAGGTTCGGTCCTTGTCACTGGGATGCCTCTTCACTGACAATACGCTTTTTCAACGTATTTTTTAGGGTGAAGGTTAAGTTCAGAATTTTGCTGGCTATCCGCGAGTCTATTGTTACAGTAGTCAGCCATTTATTAGAGTGCCCATTTAAAAATGCTCCTCTGTAGCTCATGTTATATGGGAGTTTGGGTAAATTTAAGAAATTTAATTAGGGGGTGCACAGGAGTTCATTTTCACGATGAAAGCAGCTGCACTGAAGTTCAGCTCCTTAAAAACAAGTCACCGAAGCTAAGCTGTCACATACAGGAGAGTTTTAAATAATTTCTAAAACAGTTTTGTGCTCATGTGTTTTGTCGCGCACATACATTTCATGCAGTTACCTGTGCACGTGCAACTGTGTGCACATGTATACGTGTGGGTGTGTTTAAGTCTTTTATGTTTGTGCTGGTTAAGTCAAAGGATGGACCACAGCTCTCAGGGATCTGGTTTCTGCTTCACATCTGGCCTTGCTTTATGCACAAAAACTGGTTTTCTCTGATGTATTACAAGCCCTCTCTCGCACACCCACACAAGGGCGCACACACTTGCAGCTTTGCATTCCCTCATGCACACTTCATTCCGTCGTTGTGTGGACGGTGGCTGCAGTAGGTGTGCGGGAACGCGAGCGAGCGCCCCTGCTCCCTCTCAAATCTAAATGAAACGGAGAACTTTGCATTAAGTGTTTTTTTTTCTTTTCGCTGCGGCTCTAAATGTCCAAACATTAGCACAGCTGAACAAATACTGTCAACACTCTCTCCTTCATCTTAAATGTACTCTGCTGTTTCACTCTCTCTTGCACTCGCTCGCCCTCTCACTTACAGTTGCACTTCTTTCCTCCGAATAAAAAGAGAACGCAGTCTGCTCTCGCTGCAGAGAACAAGTACTCTAGTCACTTTAAAATCGTAATTATCCGAAATTCTTGGGAAGTCAGCGTGGACACGGCATTTATATTAGATTTATATAAGAAACCACTGAAACATCTGTTTAAATCTTCTTTCCTCTCCCTGCGGTATCATTTTTTTTCTGTTAAAACAACATTTCACCAAACACTGATACTGATGTTTGCAGGACAGCTACGGTTTGCTGTTGACATTTTTTTTACTGTATTTTTTAATTTTTTTGTGACTAACACGACATACATGACACAGGAAATTTGTGAAATAAAAGCAGATGTGTGCCCTTTTTTATGTAAATGTCCAGTCTTAAATTTAGAGCCTTATTAAAAACACACCCTTTTGATGAAGCCAGGCTTGTCAGGAATTGGACGGGCACAACTTCCTCCTTAATCCCTTTAATTTCCTACCTTTTTAATCCCGAATCCTTTTTTTCTAACTAACTCGCACGTCATCATCAACATCATGTGAACAGCCACATGTTGTTGCGACTGAGACATGAGGTTGAAGTCTTGTCTTTCCCTCCCCCTCCCCACCCACAATCACCACCACCTTGTGTCAATAATAAAATCATTAACATCACAAGCGGCTTTTTTTGTAGAAATGATCTACTTCACCTTCCCAGGACCAAAAGACACACACGCACACAAACTCTTCTTTAGAGATCACAGATCACAAATGTGCACAGGAAGCAGAACGGGGGATTTCTTGACTTGAGGATTCATGTTCAATTTTGCTGGACAGTAAAAGCCACAAAATCTCGCCATAGAGCTATATGTGAGGCACGACCTTTCAGACCCTTTACTGTAAATCTTAAAATATCTCACTCTATGTGCGCGGAGACTAAAGAACAGTAAATGAAGCTGTGTTTCAAAACAGATGTGTGCACTATAATCCTATTTATTTTTAATCTGCTGCTAACTCTCCTGCCTAGTGTGTCCTCAGCTTCCTCACTTGGACTTTAGTTTAAAATGCAAGGACGCACAAGTTGTGTATGAAGCACTTTTGGAAAACCAATTCAGATGCCCTCCTATTTAAAGTGGAAAAAGAGGTGAAAGCAAACACAAAAGAACGGAGTGGGAGCAGTACAGTGGAAGGTAAGCGGCGTTGACTAAAGTTGTTCGAGCCTTCAAGGTTGGACAGGGACAGACGTGGGTCCTGGTCACAGCGCTTTACAACTGTCAGAAAAGCTTACAGATTTTTTTCTCCCTCTCTCTCGCCTTGCTTTCTCCCTTGATCTCACTTATTGCTCATTTCTTTTCTTGCCTTGCCACATCTCTGTTTCATCCCCACCACCCTCTTCACTACCCCACCCACCCCCAACTGTTCAAATATTATTTCTCCCCCTCCTGTCGTTGTCCCCCCCCCCACCTGCGCACCTCTTTTTTTCCCTCCCTCTCTTTATCTTGTCATTGCCTGTCAGTGGGGATTCTATCTACGCCGAGTGTTGTGTGCGTGCGTTATGTGTGAACACATTGAGACTGGGATGCACTTAAGAGCTCATTGATTTAAAAATACCTTCGATATTGGAGGTCCCCTCCTGCAGATTCGTTCAGGAGCTTATCACACACACATAGACATCCAGGTAGAGATATGCATAAACCAAAGCTCCACTCCAAAGTTTCTCCTTAAACTTTGTGATTGACCTAGTTAGCGTGTCGTTTTGACAAGTTGTCTGTTTTGACACGACGTCCTCCGGTGTTTATCAACATCCATTCTGCCTATCACACGCTCACATTGGGAATTCATGCACGCGCACGCACTCAAAGATAAATCAAGCTACGGTTTAACAATTGGCAGGAAGAGAGTGTGCAGTGTTTGCTATGGGTAAGTGGAATGACTTGTATTTGTAAGATGAATAAAAGCTTTGGTCAGTTTTTTTTTTTCTTCTTCTGTGTGCACATGTTTTTTTTATCTGATGTCTGTGGAATGCAAAACACTATCGGTATCACTCCGGTACCAGGGTACTACCTATTTGTATGAGTCGAAGTGTTTACATGAATGCTCCTGTGTGATTTAACTGGTGCGTGGATAGCGGTGTGTATACACAGGGCTTTTTTTCTTCCTTCTTCTTCTTCACTTGCCATAGCTCAGGTTTAGTGCGTCTGGTGAGCCTGGCCACCGACAGCCAGAGGTGAGAGGCCAAAGAGCCAAGTTAACTCCATCAATCCCCCTGGACAGTTACAAACAAGCCCTCAACTCTGGTCAAAACGATCCCTAGATCATGGATGACAGACAGCAGGTGGGGAGGGAAAGAGAAACGGAGAGCGAGCATTTGACTCAATTCCAAAAGAAAGGCTCTTACAAATTGGAAGTGAAAACTTGTCTGCTTCAACTATAACAAATAAGCTGTTAAAATTAGATCGAGACATAGCATTTCTTCTTTCTTATTGTTATTGTCAGCATTGTCAGTGATATTGTGGTAAAATCACTCACAAGACAGGATTAGATATCAAGTAATACAATCTTGCCTTCATGTCAATATATAAAAGGTTAACTAATTTAGAGCATCCTATTCCTCTCGGTCTTCAACTCCCAAATACTGGCCGCTGATTTTGTTTTTTTGTTTTGGAGATGATCAGATTCACGTTTCAGTCGTAGAAAGGTTAAAAGAACAACTTAACATCTTTAAAATGTTAATAAGCCATCGCAAAAATATCCCAGAGTTAAAAAGAAACTTTTTTGGCTCGACACCCAAACCTGGCCGTTCTCACCAACCTCAATGAGAAAAAGACCGTGGCGAGGTAGGAAGTCGGTGAACACGTGCAGAAGAGAAATGAGAACAAAAAATGTCCAAAACATTTCCCCGAGGCAAACTTGTAAGGAATCACACCCACATGAAAGCGCACACAGACATGCAGACGCACACGCTCACGCACTCATTTGGCATCGAGCAGAAGTGGGTAATTAGGGAAGGTCACCAAGGAAACAGACAAACACAAGCTACTGTGAGACGTAGCGTATACTCAAGAGAAGCATCAACAACCGTTTCCCTGTATGCAGTGTCATTCACCCATCACCGCCACCATTACCTGAAACACACAAATATGAAAACAACAACTCGAATATTTTATCTCGAGTTCAGTAAACGGTGACAGAGTCGCCAGCGAATGTTCTTAACACGACGTTCCCTTGTCCGAATCTTATGAGATCGGCTGTGGCTTTGCGATTTAAAAAACAAAAGCAACAAAAAAATGGGTGTTTGATGTGTGATTAAATGCTTTCATCTTACAGATACAGAAGAGGGAGGTTAAGATTTGTACACTGATGAAGGAGCTCACAGAAAGTAAGGGACAACACTCAGAGTGTCAAAAAGAGGTAAAAAAAACCATCAGTTTCATTTTTCATGATTATTGTCAACCACACTGAAATTTGATAATGGAATCACTTTTTAAAGCATCCTGTTTTTAATTGTTTGTTGGATAATGTTGAGTGGGTTTATAATTAATATTGTTTCATTACATGTTTATCTTTGGACATTTAAAGCTTTTTCCCCTGGTGCGGATGCAAATTTATGTGCAAATGTAACAGTTGCTTCGAAAAGACAGGTCTTTGGAGAAGCTCCGTGAGGAGAGGGATGAGCTGAGAGTCCTGATGGAGGACCGAAGCAAAGAGTGCGCCCACCTCGACCGGAGCAAAGCAAAACTGGAGGCTGACTTGACTCTGAGCCACAAACTCCACACCTCACACCTTGAGGTCCATCTCTCTCTGTCTGTTTAATTAAAGGAACTGGAGAGGCTAAAATGCCAGGACGTGCAACTTATTTAAATGCACGTTTTTATTAATTTTGTTAATTTTCTCTGTTTTCAGGTTCGAAGTAGAGATGAGTTAATTCTGCAGCTCAGAGCCGAAATGAAGACAGCTGAACAGAAGCATCGAGGAACACAGAAGCAGGTGCGGTGGCTCGTCTGCGTTCACTTTTCAGGTTGTGTCATGCAGTTTTTAGAGATTAAAAAATACAATTTGGAGAAATGGAAACTCCATGTTTTTCCCTTTAAAACGGCATATTTGGCTGTTTTTAAGCAGTATTTGATGAAAAAGGCGCTTTCTTTTTTATATTATGTTTTGCTTTTTGGGTTTGAAATTTGTCTTAGGGCTTTCAATTCTCTCCTACAATTTTTTTTATTTTTCTTTCATATGCCGAGGCTAGGTTCAGTGATCACCCCTATTTTTTCAACACTTCCTTGCTTTACACCCACAGAGTTGCACACATCTACTCAAGGGAAGTGCCCAAACCAGCAGCAGTCTTCTACTGTTGGCTACCGAGCAGCTCCATCAGAGCAATGGGAGGTGTAGCACCTTGCTCAAAGGCTCTGCGAAAGTTGGAGCTAAGGAAAAGGGAATCGTTACTCATTCATGCTGTGCCTACATTTTCCCAGCTGGTCCTGAGACTAAACTGGGAAACTCTCTGACTCAAACCTGACACTCACTTTTTGGTTACTGCCACCCCCTCACTGTCTCTTCTGTCTGTCTGGGTGTGCATAGTATCCCAGCGTAAAGCTTTCCTCGTCTCCATCCTTTTCAATTTTCATCTTTTTTTCTCTTTCTTTTGGCTCAGGTGACAGCTCTGGAGGAAGAGGTAAGACACTTAAACTGCACGATTAGAGCGCACAAGGAAGAGGCCTGTCAGTTAAGCGAAAAGGTCAGCGATATCGAGCACCTTAGAGAGCAGAAGGAGAAAGAACAACAGCAGCTACAAGAGCAGCTCCGTATTAAGGAGCAACAGGTAAAGAGAAACTCTCTCCTCTCCTCTTCACCTTTGCTCACTTCTTGTGAAATCTATGGATCAGTTGAACTCTGACCGGGAAGTCGTGAAACAGGCTCACAAAATTGAAGCGTAACCCGGAGGGGGGACCGGCTCCGTGCTTCACAGCCGACTGAAGCAGAACAACTCTGAGCTCAGCCAAATGCACAGCAGGCTGAAAGACCGAGAGCCGGAGGTCACAAAGCTCAAGGACGGTTTAAGTCGGAGGTCCATAACGGCGCAGAAGTCGACTCTTTTGTGTGCTCACTTGTCTGTCGGCTGAGACATAATCCAACCGAAAAGCCATCTACTGCGATAATCCAATGAGGAACATAAAAGGAAAAATCGGATGCACTTGTGCGTTTGAGTGCGAGTGCTCTAAATCACGGTAGACAATCAAGTAGTCAGAGTTTTCTGCCAGGAACGGCAAACCGACTCGCTTGCGGCAGACAAGCTTTATTTTGTAGTCATCTTACATATATTCCAATCTACATCATCTGAATTACTAAACAAGACACGATGACTCTACTGTTTGTGAAACTCTCACATCTAATTGGAACTAAGCATGAATACAGACAGGGAAATGTAGACCAAGAATAAAGTTATTATCAACTTAGGGTCAACTTGGATAGTCATGTGACGGCAGTGAATACTCAAACATCAGGCCAAATGAGGCTTGTCAGGTCATGAGGGTCAGATGTGTTTTCCATCATGTTTAATGAGGGTTGTTTGTTTCCCCAAAGCACACGCTCCTGATTATGGTCACAAGAAAGCCATAGTGCCCCCATTAAGTCTTGTTATGAGGCCTTTCATCCAGTAACAGAAAGAAATGCAAAGTCCACCATTAGTGTTTGGCCTGTAGGATAGTGAATTCATTAAAGGAGAGAAATACAGTGACACAAGTAGAGCAAGTAATAAATACAGCTTTGATATGTAAAGCCGACGTACGACGTCTCACTTTATAGCGTGTGGTTCTTCTCCGTGTGATTATTTTTAAAACTGTTACCTCAGACAACCTCGTCAAACATTCACCATTCACCACCATCACGCTCAGATAAAACAGAGGCTGCATGGGCTGAGTCAATGCTTTTAAGCAGTCCACGCACGCGGCCGTACACCTACACAGGTTGTTCAGTCTTTCCACTCTAAAACAGAGAGTAAGAGTCGATGACTCCTCTCCTCTGGTTTGTCTCTTTCTTCCTTTTGCATGAGCAAGTTCTCTCTCGTGCCACCTTCAATCCAGTGTTAGTCCTGCGGGCCCAGTTAATCCCTGGTTAAACCGAGCTGCAGTGAACCGCTGAAATCTAACTAGTTGGCTGTCATTAGTCGTAAAACCCTCGTGTTCTGATCCAGATTACAGCGGGATTAATGTGGATGAACTCAAGCTGAGTGTTAGAGCGGGTTTAACTTTCTCAACCTCTCCCCTTGAAAGGTGAGCTACGGTAGGATTCCTAGTGTAACGGCAGGATTAAGCCCGGTTTCACTTCCTGAGTTCCCCTTTCATTATGACAGAGGTTACTGTAGAGCAGTGCAGTAAATTACACCATGTTAAACAAACTAGCATGGGTCTGTTCAAGTAGCTTTTTAAGGCACGTTTAGTCACGAAGCATTGAGTAATGGCTTTGGTTTCACTGTTTGAATTTTAGCATAATGATAATGATGATGATGGTTGCTGCTGTAATAGTTTATGTAATATAAAAGTTTACGTTTTGCAAGATTATTTATTGCTTCCTACTTCATATTGCTTTTTTTTCACACATTCACACGTGCCACTGTGTCTTTTTAAATTTGACTGCTTTCATCGTCTTTATTGAAAAACAAAGGTCAACATCAGCATCTGTACTCTGTTTGATTTTGCTCTCAGGCTGATACAGTTGAAAAGAAGCTGAATAAGGAGAAGGAGGAGGTGGAACTTCTTAATCAGCAGCTGAAAGAATCCAAGGATGAGCTCAAAGAGGCCAATTTGCACACCCAGGAGCAGAAAGAAACGGCTGCGATTTTTAAGCAGAAATACACGGCAGCAATAGAGAAGGCACGCAGGGTGCAAGAGCATGTGGAACGTCTGGAGGAGGAACTACAATATTCACAGGAAAAGGTTAATAATGGCCGATATAGCCTTTAAATACGTACATACGTTTTGTCTAATATGCCTTTAATTTTGAGTCTGACTACCTGTTTTAATGGCAGCTAAGAGAGTCGCAGTTAGCAGCTTCTTCGCTGAAGGAGGAGCTAGCTGAGCTGGAGCGCCGGTATCAGGAAAAGGTTGGCCAGTGGGAGAATTCACAGGAGGCTCTTGACCAACTAACAGATGAACTTCAGGCCAGTCACAACCTGCTAAGAGAGAGTGAACAAAAACTGGAGCACTTCAAAAACCTGATGAGATCCCTTCAGGAGCAGATGGACACACTCAATCAGCAGGTTTGGGAAAACATTTACGTAATGCAGACACAGCAATAACAAAAGGATAAATCCAGACACAAACACACGTACAAATACATGAACATAGTTAATCCTTTATATCTATGTGGACAACCTGATTTGCTTGCATAACAAATAGTATTAACCTTTCTTGCAAAAGAGTTGTTTTCCTTCCACTTAATGAAACATCTGAAAACAGTGCGATTCATTGTATACACTAATTCTGTGTAATCATGTCACGTAACAAATGAGGTTGACTGTGAGATCAGTGGAAAACTCGGTCATAAACCAGTTCAGCCTTTCATTTCAAACTAAGAAACTAATGCTGTTGCACACTTTACTGTTTCACTATGTATTTTTTCATGGATGCACCCACCTCCTTAAAAACTAGGTTTTGAATACATGCCTTGTTTTTTAACTCAGATGGGTGTCTCTCTATTTTCGCAAGTGCACCCAGGTGCTTGCCAGCTCCAATCATGCTGTACAAGTGCATGCATGGATATATTGCTCTGTGTGCTTGTGTCATTGTACGCACGCATGTATATGTGTGTGTGTGTGTGTGTACTAGTGCGCATTTGTGCATCTGTGCACTGGCGTGTGTCACTTAATTTTTTCTTCTTCTTTTTTTCCCCCTTTCTGTTTTATATTTACTACGTCAGGCAACAAATGAATCATCTTTATTACGGAGAAATTTAATTTGGATGAACTTAACTGCTGCCGCCAAGGTCAGACGGGCAGAATGTCATTTTAATCCAATCAACTTTAATCTGTTGGTTATAAAAGAGTTAGGCTGTTGAAGAATGGCTGTATCTCAGGCCCTTTATTACACTGGCTAATGACTTCGATTGTAAGGCGCCTATCAAGAGGTTAGGAGTTCTTATGGAGCTTCACGTCCTGCTAATGCGCTACCTCATGTCACTGTTGGGCTTAGCTAACCCTAAAATCACCATTGCCTTTATTCCCTGTTTACGAAGAAATACAGTGTGGAAAACATGAAACAGTTTTAAATGAAAGAAAACATGACTATAAAAGCAGTTTAGAAGTTATAGCGTTTCACATTTGAGGGATAAATGGGGAAGAAAACCATGGACTGGCTCAAATTGTGAGTGTAGTATCTTAATTCTATCTCTACTGGTCAATTTATATTCGACTAGAGAATATTTCACTATAACATAAAGATGGACAGTTGAAGATAAGTAAGATTTCTTCCCTTTCCTATGAAGATGTCTACTTTTGAATTACTTACATAATTTGCCTGTATAAAGGACAGCAGCTAATAGGGTAAGATTGAGGGTAGTGATACATTAAGCAATTTATGAAAAAAAAGCAAGAGCATTACTCCTGGCGATGCTCTCGGGAGTAAAAAACAAAGTGTAACACTTTCACTGTTTTCCAAAGAGATATACATTTGTAATTAAGAGAACAATGCAGATGTTCATGAGCGCGATTGCTCGTAGTACTTCCTATGAGCTAGAGTCACGTGCTAAGTTCGAACTTGTTGTTTTACAGTTTGTATAATGTGCTTGAAACACCAAGGTCATGTTTCTCTGTGCAAATCAATACACAAATGAGTGTAACACAAAATAATGTGCTTCCTTAATGGCCCATCAATGCCACTGCCATTTATTAGTAAACCAAAATAAGTGTAATCTGTTGAAATGCAATTCATTCAATTCATTCGCCCTTTTGTGTCTTGACTTGGTGGTTTGTTTCTATTTAAGTTTCTGTTTAGGTGTGTTTTGGGTTATAGAACCGATTAAAATAAGATTTAAACAAGCGGGATGTTCTTAAAAAATATGTTTTTTCTAACTATCTATATCACTTACTCTCCCTCTCTCTCGTTACTTATAGAAACTTGCTGTGGAGTGCGACCTGCAGCTCTATCGTCGGAGCCATTCTCATTCTGATGAGGAGTATTTGAGTCTAGGAAGACTCAGACAGCAGCTGCAGAAGGTAATATCCTGCATGGCACTGCTGGGATTACCCATTCTGTGTATTATCATCACAATGAAACATTAAAATATATCTGCCACAGTTTCAATACTTACAGTTATGTTCAGTGATAACAGCTGAGAGATAAGATTTGTTGACATTCCAGTATTCAGAAGTAACGCTGATAAATGTAAATGTAGGCTTATATTTAAAGTTTGTTTTATATTTACATGGACAAACAGTTTTTGCTACATTCCAGCACTCATTTTTTCTTTGTGTGTGTGTGTGTTTCAGCGCTGTGCGGCACAGGTTGAACACCTTGCGGTGTGTGAAAACACTATTCTTCAGATGAAGTCAGAGCTAGAGAGACAGTAATAACAGAGTCTATAAAACTCTCATTCTCCTCTGCTGCTCGGTTTCTGTCCTTGTCTCTCCTTTCATGCCCTTCTCATCAGTCTCCACCCCCAACTCGCTCTCATTTTCGCAACAGTCTGCTTACTAAATGGCACACAGTAGATATATTATGTTACTTGGCAAATGTAAAAATCTATTGAAATCTTTTTTTTTTAAATTTCAGTAATCATTAATATGCTATCTGGTCTACATATTATTACGCTGTGTTAACTTGGGCAGCACATTTTTTACAGACCGGTTTGCTCAGGCAATTATTCTTTGCTCTCCTTACCTTAGAGTCCAGGAAAAGGTGGGTCTGAAACCAAGTCTCGCTGCTTCCCAGCAAACTCACCGGAGCAATCAAAAACAGCTGGAACAGGAAGTGATTCGTTCAAAACAGGAAGTGGCATCCTTAGAGCGTGAACTGGCGAACGCCCAAAAGGTATTAAAATAATGCATATCTGCTGACCTGTCCTCTAATTTAGTGAGAGCTATATTAATTTGACCTTTGTCCAGTCTGCTTTTAAATTCAGACGCATCTGCCATTGTCCTTAAATGTTCGCGATGCAGTCATTTCAATCTAAGGACATGTTTGAGTTCCCAAAGAGGAGTACTTCAACCACCTCCACGGGCACCACACACCCACCACTCATGTGATTGTCCTGCGATTGTCTGGCAGAAACAAATTGCCTCGCCATTAATTAAAGCACCAAACGGTGCCAAGGCTGGTGAAATTGACTCCAATTAAGAGCTCAATGGGACACTAAATATTCAAATTACTCAAAGTGGTGACTGTAGCCTGGCAGAACGCCAGCATTCCTGGCAGTCTTGGACACATCATTTGTATGTGTGTGAGTGTGTGAGTGTCTATGTTTGCACGCGTTTGTGTGTACGCTTGCTTAGCCGTGTATGAGTAGGTGGAAACGGTAATATTTGATTTCGCACGCTAATTTGTGTTTGTCACATATTAGCAAAACACGTGTTACTCTTGCCAAAATCATATGCTCGCACACTTACATTTACTCCCACAAACACACACAGCGGCAGGTTCTCTTGCTGTCAGGTCTTGCCCATTCATTCACACAACTTCCCTCTGGAATACCACATAATGAGTCCGTGTCATGTAGGTACACATATCTTGAAGTATACATCTACATTCATCACATGCATAATGCATGTACACATTATTAACTTTTAACATTATGCATATATACATAATTATACAAGAGTTTAATCCTTTACATGAGTGATCAGTCATACATACAAGGGCTGAGTTCAGAGCCATTAACACTAAAAACATTTTTTTTAAGGAAATTGTATTTGACAGTGTATTTTTTGGGTTGCTAAATGTGTGTGTTTTTTACAGAAACACAGAATTTATATTGGTTCATAATGTTTTTCTGTTTTATTATTATTATTATTATATCCACCATCATTTCCACCACCTTCTGTCTTTTCCAGCTTTAGATTAAATGGAAATATATATATATTTTATCTTCGGTTTTTATTCAGGACCATACAATATGATGCGATACCATTTTGGAAATTCTTTAAATGTAAGCAGCAAGCAAAGCAAATAATAAGTGATTTCTGATGATATATTTAGAGGTCTATTGATGGCAACTGTTACATGGCAACAGCACATTATAAACACAACTGTGCAACATATTTAAACCGAACAGACGCTGGATGTTTCTTTGGCCCGGACGCTGCAGGTACAGGTGACACTCCTCAGGCAGTCAGATGAGGAACTGAAGGAGGCCAGACAAGAGTCTGCAAGAAAGAGCCGAGAGGTGGATGTGGAGAGAAGAAAGGCCCAGATGCTTCAGGAGGCGTTACACAAGGAGCAGCAGAAGCTGCAGAGTGCTATCAGAGAGAATGAGACCCTGAGCACTCTCATCGGAAAGCTGAGGAAAGAGCTGGAGGAGCTGCGCAGCAGTCACCAAGTTACAGGTAGCAATCAGTCCATAAACTGATAAGCTGCCGTTGGTCCTGATCCATGTATGCAGTTAGTCATAAAGTAATAATTTTCCGTCAACCGTATATTCATGTTGATAACATATACATATTTCAGTTAGGACTAATATATTTATAAGAAGAACGCTATTAATATTCAGTATTATGTCACTGTTCAGGGACTTCTCTGCTGTTCGGCGCGCATTCGTGGATGTCTGTAGTCGGAGAGAGCAAGAGCCAGACCCCAACATAAAACAGAGTAGGGTTCAATGACAGTGTTATTGCACGCATTATATGAATCTGTCAGCATAGCATGAAAAGGAAGAGTAGGGATAAAGGTGGGTTGCAATGTGGCATGTAGATGAGAAGAAGCCGTAGGTTCCTAAAGACACTTACACAGTGTGGCCTTTATGAGATTTGCCAGCTAGATGCATTAGTTGAGCCTCCAGCTGTGGGCAAGCATGGAGATCAATTGATCTGACAGGAATATGGCTATGCTTGACTTTGTGGCCTGCCTGAACTAACACTATACTCAGTATCATGTGAAAATTAACCTGTATTTCACCAGTGCTTGATTCAGCATCCACATTTTTTTAACAAGCAAGTCAACATGACCAAAAGCAAAGATTTTATGTCAGTTCACTGCTTGATCCATTCATCACCCTGCCTTTATTATTAGCACTCTATGAACATTTCCCCGCTGCTAAGGTTTTGGACATTATTGGCGATCAGAAGCCCATCACATACCAGAGGAGCTACAGTACGCAGCCTGTCCTGTCTTTTGTTGCAGAACCACCCGCACTGCTGTTAGCTCAATCAGTTAGCTCAAATTAGCCAGCAGTGTGGTGATTTTGTAGCTAGCTGTCTGCACACCATGTTAACTCAGACACACACACACACACGCTGTAGGTAGAGGTTTGATTTAATGGTGCACTGCTTTAGCTGTATGGTAATGATCTGGTTTCTGTGTGTGTCTGTACATGTGTGCGTGTGGCCAATGGTGGCCTTTGTAGTAGTGCGTCAGTGTAGGAATGGTGATGGCTGGGTCTCTCTGGGCACAGAAATGTCTCATTAAGAATTAACGTACACATCGACGGTCACGCCAGGCAAACACCTCACATGCGCACGCTTGCAGCCATTTCTTCCAACTCCCACTGCTTTAATTAGCACATACACACTGGCTCTCCAAGGTACAAACACACATACACACACACAATCACCTATTGTCCGCAGAGAGATGAATCTGAGGTCTCTCTCTGTGGCAGACAGTGGCTGGCTTGCTCACTGAACACTGCTCATTAACAAGATAGAGACAGAAGGACAACGCTGTGTAGCCTGGCCTTTGTCTGTGATCAAAACGCATTCCCTCAACTCTACTCTACACACAAAACCACATATTATTCAGCTTTTACCTTCAGCAAATACAATCCAGCAATGCAGAGCCTATTGTAATAACTTAAGAAGAATAAAGATGCATTATTATAACAAAGGGGGCATTGTTTACCTGGATATAGCAGTGGTCTGAATAAACTGGGTGAGGAGTCAGCTTGAGAAATTACTGTCATGAACAAAGGGCCTTTTTATTAACATGAAGCCCTCGTCGAGGTTCTTTCTGTAGTATGAAAACATTTCATTGAGTGGTGATGATTTTGTTTGTTGCTTAATAACAGCAGACCTCATCTAAGATGGACTGGACTGTGAACGTGAACAGGTTTGAATGATAAGAAAAATATGGACGGGCAGAAACAGGTATACAATTATGAGTTAACAAGAAAATGTATGCTAGAGGTGACTCTAACCAGAATAATTTAATCAGGAATGCATATTTAAGATGCTTTAAATTACTCTACATAACTTATTAGCCTTTTATAACCCAGTCGTCTGTAAATTGTTATGTAAAATTACAAAATTACTCATCTGGTAAATTAAAAATCAATGAATTATCAACACAGTAGCTGCCAGTATCAGGTTTTCAGAAGTAATAATCATATCAGTCCAAAGTCATTTTTGATGTTGCTATTTAGACAGTTAACGAGATAAACTGCCATTTTTGGTGTTTTTAACAAAGCATTTTTACCTCTAATGCTGTTGATATGCTTTCTACAGTTTAATATATAAATGTAGTTTGGGAGTAATGGATATTATATAAAGGTCTCTGTGGCCAGACAGAAGGAAAGAAGCAGGAAAAGAGAATGAGTTGGAAACCAGGGAAGTGTCACATGGATTAGATTGAAGTGTCTGAAGGCAGCTGGATTCAATCAGACTGTGTCAGGATAGGATGAAGAGACTGGAAAGAAAGGAGTGATTAAAAAGGATAGAAAAAAGTCCTTAAACTTGGCGTATGGGTGCTTGTGTCAAATTTACTGTCATTCTGTCACTTATGGCTCTCGGAATAGGCTGGGGCGTGTGTGATACATGCGGAAAATTGCACTATTTCGAACATACAGTGCACACGAGCCATTACAGAAAATGCACATAAAGGTGTACCGAAGGGACGATTGTATTCGTAATCTGTTTTCCAGGAAAATCAGATGTGGCGTACTCTTAAGTAGGTGTTTTCATAGCATCTGCTCGTGAAACACGGGCGGGGATGGATCTTTAAAATATTCAAACCCGACTAGTAGAGTCATCTTACATCTTAAATAAGATGTGTTGTAAGGTTGGTTATAATGCAAAATAAATGTGATGCCGTGTGACAACAAATGAAATAACGGCATAAACAAAAACACTATATCCTTATTTCCACACTTCCACCAAAACAGAAATGTGATATTACCACCCCTCTGTGCTGCTGATGTGCATCTGCCTAAAGATGATGAAATCATTATTGCACGTTTGTGCGTGCACTCGTTTGTACGTGTGAATGTGTGTGCGTGCATGTGTGTGTGTGTGTGTGCGCTGCTGCTATCCAGTCTGGATCCCCGGACACACACGTGCACAGGCCTCTCTCCTCCAATTCACCTCTATTACTAGCTATAATCCCATTTCACACTCTATCGATCCCCAAAACTGTTGTTCACCGGAACCAGCAGCAAACACTGGCATTTCTCCCCATCATTTCACCACTATTGTTCTTTATTACACAAAGAAGCATACCCCCCCCCTCCCTCTTTGTCTCAGAGCAAACTCAGCCCCGCTGAAATATGAATTATAAATGTATGGCTAATAAAAGAG